AACACATAATTAACTCCCAACACGCTCACAGACGCGTGTACACACTCTCGCACACACACACACACACACACACACACACACACACACACACACACACACATTCACACACACGCGCACACACACACTCACACACAGTTCATACTAAACGTGTAGTATTGTTTTAGACGTGACTAGCTTGTCCAAATTGCTAACTTACTTAATCTTTTTTAAACATGAATGTATCAGCAGAGTAACGAGTCTATCTATAGGCCACTGCTTTACAGCATAGAAAAACTATATTGTTCTACATAATATCTAGAAACGTAATAATTTAATTAGTCCCATGTTAGACTCATGTGTTCCTTTTTCATGTAACATACACAGTGACACCAAATCTATAATATATGCGAGAAAAATTCCTGCCCGTACGCGTGCACGTCATCAAAGTATTAAATTTTAAGCCAGTGCGTGTGGCACCTGTCCCGTGGCATACATTTATCTAAATTTGAAACCCAGTCTCTGTCTCCCGCTACCCTCACCATATTTTTTTCTTATATCACATAGTAATTCAGTACTCTTGTAAAGATGAGCCCCCACCCCCCTATTTTTCCAGCGAACCATTTTCTACCCAACGTTTTATTTCGTTAGGAGCCCCTAGTTTTTATTCGCTGTGAGTGTATGTTCGCCTGCCTGTCTGCTCGTCAATCAGTCTGCCTGTCTGACTATGTGCTTCTGCCAGTTTGCTAATTTGTCTCTTTGTTGTATGATATTTTTTACCCTTCCTATCTTATTTTTCTTTCTTTCTCTCTAATCCATCCATCCATCAATCCATCCATCCATCCATCCATCCATCCATCCATACATGTGAGTACTACATACAGATCTATGCATATGAAAAATTTCACCCTCCTCCTATTCCCTTCCCTTCCGCTCCCCTCCATCCACCCCCCACCCCCGACCCACACCTTTCCCCACTTCCTAACGACCACGCCAGCTGGCAAGACAAGTGTATACTGGGACGATATAATAGAGTGATGATAATTTCCCCCACACAATATGGATTTTTAATGTGTTGGCGGATAAACAGCCTGGCCCCAGATCTCTGCCCGGGTGTAAAGATTGTCATTAGCTCTTGGAGGTCCGAGCTGAGGGGATGTTTACTCACAGAGCGGTCTAAAGCCCATTGACTGCATTTGGATTTCGTGACGCCATAGAGGTGAAAGCTTAGCCGGATCAAAGCCGGCGGAGAGGACACAGTTTTGAAATGCATGTCAGCCTGTGAGGCGAAGTTTGCGTAACTTGCAAACTCGAGCGCCGGCGTGTGTGTTCTTTTGAGTGTTTTATTTTTCGAGCCTGGACACCAATGTGACAGAGTTGTTGGAGCCTTGAGCCGCTGGTTGTCCCCAATGGAGAAAGCAGGTGTCAGATTATAGAGCACTTCGAGGGGCAATAGTATCAGGGCTGACAAATGCACTGGGACTGAAAGAAGTATATTCTTTGGAGAAAAAAAAACTATGTTAGTGTGAAATAATATTGTGTAGCACTGTGATTGCAAACTTGAAAGATAAAAACTTTTCGGTGCCTTTTTTGTGGATTAAATTTCTTGCAAAAAAAGACAGAGACTTGCAGAAAAGAAAGACCAATTATCTTTTTTTAAAAATGAAAAGAAAAGTGTATGTAAAGCAGTTGCATCAACTAAAGGCAGCTCAGGCTACCGCTAACCAGATCAAAAAGAAGGCAAGAGAAATGAGTTGTATACCTTCTAACACGCCTCAAAATACTACTTCTGTTATCAAAAGGAGCACGAGGAATTCTGTAAATAAGAATAGCGATTCGCCACCAACCGCCCTTCCTAACGTAGGCGTCCTTATGAGAGGTAGTAGCAGCAGTAGTAGAGAACGGCAGAACTGCGTGCACGAAGAGCCCTCTAGTAGTGGAAGTTCTGCGTCCCGGGTCACCTCGGAGCAGAGGAGAAAGATGAAGGGAGATGCCATTCCCACAGTGGTCGAGGCTACCTCAGCGGATATACCATTGGGGTCTGAGCCCACGGAGCAACCTGACGACGTGGACAACGCCGTTAATGGTGACCCGGTCCGGCCACTGTACGAGGCGCCTCCTTCATACACGTACCTGACAGCGGCAACCAACGTCAAATATGGCGCAACATCTGCATCAGAGCCGGCTCACGGGTCAGACCCAGACCAGTATGGGGTGCCGCCCGGTATGAACTATGTTATAGTCCCTAGCGTTGTGGACTCAGTCCCGACCAGCGCCCCTCCTCAGTACACACAAACTGTTCTTGAAAGATCCACTTTCGGAGACCATAGTAACTTCACTCACCCTGTACCTTACCCCAGCACCATAGCGTGTCACCAGGAACCTTTCGAAGGAAGGTCACATGATGTAAAATCTGGTCATTCTACGGAAGAGAACGGCGATTCCTTAGGGAGCACAGAAACGTACTCTTACCCAAACCACGCCACTACGTGGGAGCAAGAAAATGGCCGCTATGTGAGCTATACGTGGAAGAACCACGACGTGGACGTCTACAACAACAACAATGACGTCAGTCTCACAAACAACAACGTGCAGTACAATGTTACATCTCCTCAAGAGGGCATGAAGAGAAGATCTTCCAGCCACATACGTGACGCTTCCATGATAAAACTGTCTTCCAGCTCGTCTCGGCGCAGACGGAAGAGGGTTCAAACCCCAGTCCAGCGCTCAGCAGCTAACATGAGAGAGCGCCGAAGAATGTGTCACTTGAATGTAGCCTTCGACCGTCTGAAAGAGCGCCTCCCCAATGTGAAGGATAAGAAGAAACTGTCGAGAATACAGACACTTAAAGCTGCTATCTACTACATCCATCTCTTGAGGGATTCTCTCAACATGTGCTAATATGAAGCGGAATAATTCGGAACTTTGGTGTTGATGATTTGTCTTGTATTACTCTTTTTTGTTAATGATCTAGAATGATGTTACATGCGTTTAATCACCTCTTGTTTTCATGCCAAAAAAATTTAGCCCAGATACTGCTCGTGTCAATGAAAGGTGTTACTGTGACATTGGTCTGCGTTGTGTTAAGAGACGTTGGCAACAAATGTCTGTTTGTTTGTTTTACTTTTATGAATCGTTCCCTGTCGTCTCCTCATTAATTTTTACCGTTTGAGCTTCCGGATTTCCCCTTTTTTCTGTAGACACGTAGTATAAGAAATTGTATTATACATTATAGAGTTGAGACATTTTTACTATTTTTGGAAAATACAAAAACACGTCCTCACAGCAAAAGTGCAGAAATATATACATAGGGTTGCCGGTATGGAAAATTTACCTTTAAAGCCCAAGGGTGTAAGAAAGATTTGAAGACGTTTCACCAGTAAAGGAGAAAACAATGAACAACGAATAAAGAAAGTTAACTCGGGCCATTTTTTATTTGTCCAGCGGGTATTCTCATTCTACTATAATTTCTAACTTCTCTTTCTTATGAAAATGTACGTGAAGATTTAAGACTTACTCTTGTTTATTTCTTCTGTTTTTAAAGAAGAATAATTGAGAGCCCGTTGTTCAATATTCTACATTTCGGGTAAAGAAAGGAGTAGGTTTTAAGCCAGAGAGAAATATAAGAAAAAATAGTGCTACACATACTTTAAGTACCTTAATCGTGTCGGACTATAAACGAATTATTTTTTGTTTGTTTGTTTGTTTGATTTTGTTTTCGTTTTGTTTGTTCTTGTCTAATTCAGGAATTTAGAACATTCAAGAAAACAGCAGGTCAACTGTGGAAAATGAGACTTTTTTGTCTATTACATATTGCCTATTTGGGTGCTCTCAAAACTTAAAGTGTATAACCTATTACTACATGTGCTTCTTTTATCCAAGGATGAGAAAATAGGCTAATACTATGCATAAACAATACATGTATAAATTAAATGAAAAATAGCAAGGACAGGGTGTTATCACCATTTCTAATTAAACTTTAAAGGCTGGGTCATGGCCTCTCATAGCCTGGTTATATTGATGAAATAATGAGGTACTGTATGTTAGAAAAAAAAAGGCACAGGAAAATATCTTAGTGGATCGCTTTCTCCCCCACTCCCCCCCCCCTTCTACCTTCATGAAATATAAAAAGAAGAAAAAAGCAAAAAGAAGTGAACAAAAAGACAGGGACGTAAACAATAGCGACAATAGCGACAAGAAGGTGAACAAACTAGCATGAAAAGTTTGAACGCTTTAGTGAACATAATATAAAAGGAAACTAATAGAGTCAAGAAAATCGTATTGATACAGTAGGTCTTTTTCTAACTAGAGGGGTAGTCGAATGTGGCTGATTTCTACTTCCAGTAGATCTTTGCTACAATCTAACAGATATCAACGCTTAACAATAGGCCTTTGCGTGTTTGTCTCTGGTGACGGAAAGACGGAAAGAAATCAAACCATAACTTATTATCGGGTGCTTAAGATTTCTTCCGTCATTGACCTCTGCCAGGTGGATTGGCGAGTTGTAATGAGCCAATTCACCTGGAAGAGGATACGAAGAGAAGGGAAAGCTAAATTGTATGGTATAAAAGTATTTAATAGTAAATTAGAAATATTTGACAAGTACTCGGGAGCCAAAATTGGTGACATCTTCCAGAATATTGTATGAAACTTGGTTATTTAAAAGGGAGCCAAGATAGTTTTTAAAAATCTTAATGTTGGAGATTTCTCAGCTCCTTTATTTCGATTGTTGATAAGTCAAATGTTTTGGTTGTTTCAAGTCAATGAAGGCTGATAGTCGCTAGAAAGATGCCACAGAAACGAATTCTAGCATTATTATTTTTACTCTTTTAAGTCCAGAGGTAGTGCTTTCCACATTTCTGTTTCTTAATGGAACATGCAGCACTAGGCTGATTTTGCCATTCTTCAAAGTAGTAATAGTATTTAATTTGTAAAACATTTTTCAATATTTTTACACTGTATGTATTCTTACATTTTCAAAGCTGAGTTGTTTCCCCTGAAAATACCTCATCCCCCAAATATGATATATATAAAGAGAAAACAATTAAATTGGTAGTAAATATGTAAGTCAGGAGCACTTTAAAATGTAAAAGTCCCGTACACATTCAACGAAATAGAACAAGCCAGCAACAGAAGAAGTATAGAACTAGAACTAGTCACAAATTTCATTGGCAATAGCAGAAAAAAGACAACAACGATGGCGAAATAGCAGCAATCATAAGAACAATAACAAGATA